AAAATTGAGGAAGCAAATAACCTATTACTCATCTTGTGCAAGAGGTATGAAGTAGCATTTTTAGATAACAGCGAGATAGATCAATCCCATCTCAATAGATCCAACCTCCATTTGAACAAAAATGGAGACAAGTTGTTGAGCAAGAAATTTTGCTCTTACCTAAAGTTAGTTAAAATTAGCCACAATGCTGTTCATAAACAGAAGCTGCATGGCAAAAATAAGCCTTTTTTTCGGCTTGCACTGGGCCATCGAATGAAGGAATGGTCAGATTATCTGAAGCTAGTAACCAATATAATGAAGAAATAAATATTAATGGATAGTTGATATTTAACCCAAAACAGGAGCAGCAATTGTTTCAATGAGATTAATTCTATTCCTAATGAAAGAGGCTTTAAAATGGCCTTTTTAAATGTTGTTAGCTTGCCAAAACGATATGATGAAATTAGCTTTTCATTGTCAAACAAATTCATTGATTTAATCGCATTTAATGAAACAAGGCTTGACTCCATTAATTATCGGATTAGACATGATCTAGTGCCTAAAAATCTTGAAGCTGTTTGTATTGAAATCATTAAGCCTCAAAGTCAGCCGTTCGTCGTAGTAACAGCTTATAGACTTCCAAATCCGTCATCCGAATTTTTTACCGATTTAGAAAGTCTCATTAAAAAAATAGATGATGAAAACAAAGAAATTCACATTCTTGGTGATTTAAACTGTGATTTACTTAAGACAAATCCAGACCAATTAACTAAAAAACTCAAATCCATATATGAACTTTATCAATTGTCACAAATGATTGATGAAGCTATATGCACATCAACATCAACCCTTATTGATAATTTATTACAAATAGACCAGAGAAAATTTCTGACTCTGGGGTAATACATACTGGAATTAGTGATCATAGCATGATTTTTGCAATAAGAAAAATAAATTTTTCAGTAAAACGTCATGTAAATATTGTTGAAATTAGAAACATGAAGAATTTCAGTGATCTAAATTTTCTTAAGGATTTGCAAAATCAACCCTGGGATCATATTTATTATTTTCCAGATAATCCAAATACTATGTAGGAGATGTGGAAAAAAGTCTTTTTAGAGGTCCTGGATAAGCATGCACCACTTCAAAACAAAAAGATAAAATCAAAAAGTGTCCCTTGGTTTACAAGCAAAATTATAATGCTCATAACCAAAAGAGATAAATTGAAAAGAAAAGCAATTATTACTAAACAAGAATCTGATTGGCTCATTTATAAAAAAGCCAGAAATGAAACAAATACTGAATTAAGGAAAGCCAAAACAGACTATTATTCTAAAAAGATTGCTAACCAAAAGTGCAATCCAAAGCAGGCTTGGAAAACTATTAATAGTTTGATCGGAAAGGGTAAGAAACCCACGATTATAAAAGTTCTGAATCCGAGTTCACTGCATTTATACCAATTGCGGTAAACAAACTTTTTGATCTTTTAAGAGGGCTGTCTTGTAACAAAGCATGTGGTATTGACAAAATTTCCAGTAAAATTCTTAAATTAGCATCACCAGTTATTTTTGCTACACTTACATATATTTTTAATCAAAGTATTACTCTTTGCAGCTTTCCAGATGAATGGAAAGTAGCTAGAGTTTTACCTCTTTATAAAAGTGGTCATCGTAATATTCCTGGTAATTACAGCCCAATATCGATACTACCAGTCATAAGCAAAATCATGGAAAGATTACTGTATGACCAGCTGTATGATTATTTAACTAAAAACGAAATTCTCTCTGATAACCAATTTGGCTTTCGAAAGTTTCACTCCACCGCTACGTCCCTTTTAGATTCAACAAATAGTTGGTAAGTTAACATGGATCGAAAAATGTTTAACTTAGTAGTTTTTATAGATCTAAAAAATTCTACTTGAGAAAATGCAAATTTACGGTATTAAGGATAAGGCACATTTGTTGTTGAGATCATATCTTACTGATCGCACCCAAAAATGCCAAGTAAATGGTGTTGTCTCGTCTGAACACAAAGTTAAGTGTGGTGTTCCTCAAGCCCCATTTTAGGTCCTTTATTTTTCCTAATATACATAAATGATTTATCTGAAAGCCTAAATAGGACAAAGCCAAGACTTTTTGCAGATGACACAAACCTCACTGCTTCCGGTGGTACAATTGATGATGTTGAAAATGCAGTGAACTCTGATTTGGAAAACCTCAGAATGTGGTTAAACGCGAACAAACTGAGTCTAAACATTGCCAAAACTGAATTTATGCTCATAGGATCAAGATCTCTAGTGCATACTGTTTCAGATTCAAATTTAAACATAATGATTGAAAACAGACCAATTAAACAAGTGAAGGAATGCAAGACACTAGGAGTAATAGTTGATCAGCATCTCTCTTGGAAAAGTAACACTGAGAGTATCTGTAAGAAAATCACATCAGCCATTTCTGTTATTAGAAAACTAAAAGAATTTGTTGACCGTGATACACTTGTTTCTATATTTAACACAATTGTACAACCATACTTTACTTATTGTTGTGAAGTGTGGGACATTTTTGGTGAAACTCGATCACAACGATTACAAAAGCTTCAAAATAGATGCGCTCGAATTATTATGGACATGGGTAACAAAGTTAATGCCCAAATCGCATTAAATTTGTTAGGATGGGAGACACTAAAAGTACAAAGAACTAAAGCTAAGGCAAAATTAATGTTCAAAATTTTGAATATGTCTGGGCCTAAAAGCCTAACAGACCTTTTTACCTACAAGAATGAGAATACACATTACTGTCTCCGTGACAATGAAACAACACTCGTTTTGCCACAGCCCCGCACAAATAGCATGAAAAAGAGTTTTATGTTTAATGGGGCAAAAATATGGAACTCAGTGCCTAAAGAAATCAGACGAATTAGATCCCAGTCTCTATTTGAAAGAAAATTGCTGCTCATGTTACTAAATAATATATTTATACATACATATATATATCCTTTATTGTAAATAGTTATCTATATATGTTTTGTTAGTTGTCTATATTGTCAATTGGAACAGTTAGATTATTTCTATTTTCTTTTATTTGATTCCATAAGAGTCATAACAACACTTATATATAATAACTTTTGAACACACGCCCTTCGTGGAAATCAATGTTTTTAATTGACGTAGTTAGCATGTCAAAATAAAATCTATCTATCTATCATATGGCAATAGAATTTATATAATAACTACAGTGAAACACACAATTTGATTGGTCAACAGCCGTGCAGGATCAGACAATCCTGCACAGGAAATTCTGAACAGAAATTCTTGCACATAATTTTACAAATACACTCGCATTGTAAAGTTTCATTGTACGATACCTTTCCACTTTGAAGTAAGTTTGCAATTATTGAGACGTTGGTTTAGGACGCTTTCCGAAAGTCTCACAACATCCCGCGTGCATGGAACACACAATCCTGCATGGAACACACAATCTTGCATGGAAAACCATTCGGTATTCCCTTAATGGACCTTCTTTCACCTTGATGCCATAGTTAGACCCATCAGAGCGCAATCGGTTACTTCGACTTGGATGTGAAATATTTTTGGTCACAGAGTAGACCATTGAACTGCCAGTACCAAAACCACTCAGCTTCTGTGATCTGTGAGATGTGTTTATAGGCACTTCCTCTTCAAGAGTATCGCTGCTTCGAGGCCAAGACGATAGTAACTAAATAACAGTAATGTATAACTTTAACTCTACGCAAATAATGACAATTTTCGTTACAAAATTTCGTCATGAATAACACCTTCAAAAGCCATGAAATGAGTTCAGATAGACAAAATATAGATACTGTTTAGTGATTCTATGGTTTTGTTTGAATGAATAACGAAAATAAAAACTTATATTTTACCTTATCTTTTCAATGGCACTGGGATAGGTATTTCGCCGATGTACGCATCTTGAAAACGCTTCAAATTTCCATTAAATTTTGTAGATTTGACAAGCAAAACACGGCAAATAATATACCAAACGAAAGCTTACGACCACTGCTTTCCAAATATGAGCGTCAAATCGGCACTTTCGGTCTCAGTCCCCCCAAAAATGCACGAATAATAACAACTAACTGGATTGTGATAATTGTGATTCCATGGCTGAGACAATTTATGCAAATTAGAAACTGGGAACTAGTAACATTGAACTAGTAACATTAATTGCCAGCCATGAATAATCTTATAAATCTAAGCTCACTTCCTGAATTGCTCAAACATGTGTTAAAACTTGATAGCTTGAAATTAGATATGATCATATACAGCTGCATTACATGGCACATGGTGTGGCCATGTTCACTTGGGCACGATTGATAATTATTATATTAAATATATATTAATTACAATAAGATTTCTAAACACATCACTGACACTGGTACCTAAAGATAAGCAAAATCCTTGGTCTGCATTTAAGAGGGTATCAGTTTGTAGTGGAAAGAATCCTGTTGCAAAGAAACAGAGAAAAGATGAGCCTTCCAAGGGCATTAATAAAGAAATACTTGACCCGCATATATGCCTGCAATGTGGCAGTGAAATATCAAAGGGGCGAGGTTACAACAAAAAACGACATTGGGTGCAAAAACATCCTGAACAACCACCAGAGAGTTATGCAAAGCAGATTGTTCCAGAAAAACATGACCTTGCTAGAAAACGCCTAGCAGAAATGATAGCCAAGGAGACTAGTGCTCTTCAATCATCAGAAACGAACAGTCCATCAACATTTACACCAAACCTCAATGAGGAAGGCAGCAACGAAGCAAGCAGTTCAACCAATCAACATGATACAGATGGTAGTTCCATTGCTATCCAAAGATCTCTACAGAGTTTCATGGTGGCTAAAGAGAAACCAGAGGTGTCATCAGTGGAGCAGATACAAGGTGACATTAATTGTATTCTAGTGATGCTGGAATCTCTAACTCTCCCTGAAAAGGACAAAAAGCAGGGTGACGTTCATGTCAATCATGATGTGACCGCTGTAATAATAACTGCCTCAAATCTGTTAGAATTAAGATCTGGATGTTGTTATTGACATTTTAGAAGATGGATGTAAGGTTACATGCTACCCTTCTCAACAGTTTCAGTTGGCTCAACAACAAAAAAGATTTGTAAGTAGCATATATGTATATGAATATGATTTTATATTATTCTAACTGTATGTTATATGGGGTTACTTAATGGAGGTGGTCATACAACATGTCATATATTTGTTTTTTATTAAGACAGAAGTCAAATAGCTCACGGGGAAGCGGTCTTGTTTTCAACAAGGAAAAAACAAAGAAATGATGAATGGCAAGGACCGACAATGGTACAGCTTGAAAAATGCTTTGATCGAGCATGTTGGATGCAGCTCCATTCGGAGTGGAGGCCAGGAGCATTTTAAGGCCAAGAAATACAGCATGAAAGAACAGAACACACAGAAGAGAATCACCGATGTGAACACTAACCTTGTGAACACAACCATACAAGTATGTAAAATGAAGACTGCAAGATTGTCTTATGAACACCTCATTGGCTTCCTTTCAGCATGTGGTGGCGATATTGGACATATTGGTCATTGCCAGTAAAGCAAGTGTTTATCGTATATGCATGTTCTTTCAGTTTTAATGTGACAGTATCTCTTTAAAACAATTGACATCAACTAGGAAAACATTTCAATGTTCATTTTAGCATCTTAAAGTGGCCGGTATAGTAGGATAGTAATGGTATAGTAGGATAGTAGTAGTATAATAGTGAGCAGTGTATTAGCATAAAGTACATATTGGCAGGCTTGCTATCCAATAAATACAAGAAGATGTACAGTAATTAAGAAATATTCTTCAGAAATCAATTTCCAGAAATTATTTCAACTGCATACATTATGCAATCATGCAAACAAAAAGTTTCTCAAAACTCCATTGGAATCGACTGGTCTATGCCCACACAAATCGACACCACACAGGGACACAAATCATGCTATCCTACTTCTTATGCCAGTGAATGGAAAATGCATTGCTATACCATTAGACGCACCACCTGTATATTTGATTGCAGGGGACTCAAATGAAAAATTGAAGGTGGTACTGTTCAAGATCTTGCAGAACAAGTTGCAAACGTTGTGAGGGACAAATTGGAATTTGATGATGACATGCATTATGTTAGAGGTATCATTGCAACATTGTATACAACTAATAGTAACAGTACATACTAAGGCAAAGGCATTTTAAAAATACATAGAGTGTAGTATACAACAAGAGTATAGAGGATTTCTATTTATTTACAAAAGATGTGTATTATGGTTCGAGATCATTGCATTGCTTATGTAACATTTTGTTTGTTTAGCTGTCCATGCTGATGGTCAGTACCAATCAAATACGTTCCAAGATGCTCTTTTTACTGAAATGGGTAAGGTGAAAGAATTAGATGAGTTTTTCTTGACTTCTTGGGACGTGTGTCGCATTGGATGGATTTAGCAATGGTTCGGTTACAAGAAGAAACATGTTCACTATTTATGAAGCGCTTGATCAAGAGAGCTAACAGATTTCATAGTGTGTTCGTCCATGGTCATGGCCATGTTGAGTACAAAGGGTTAGCATCATCTTTTGGGGCACTGGAGACTGTGTCCTTTTCAACCACCGGCTTCTTTAGCTCTTCCTATGTGCAGTGGGAAAAATTTACCTATAAAGCATTGGTTCAATCATTCAGAAGGTCCAGAGAAAATTATGCCGATGAAGAGACAAAGTATCAGATGAGCAGAAAAAGACTGAGAATAAAAGACAAACAGTTGCTTATCATTTAATTATTTTGCAGAGTTTTCTAGAATCAACTAGAGATAAATATACTAAAATAATTTTTTAAATGTATGTCTGTGGTGAAGACTTTGCAGTCGACCTGTGTGGTGTGATCAATATTGTGAAACCAGTCGTTTCATTGATGACCAGAGCTCAAGCTGTGAACTTGACACCTTGGAAGGTAGTCACTTGGTACTCTCGAGTCAAAGAATCTCTTGAAAGATGTGAGGCAGAGCTAAAGAAAGTTGAAGCAGGATCCAAACCCTGCAAGAAGTTCCTTCCAAAACTTTTGGAGCATTGGGAAGAAATCTTTGACATGGAGGAAGAAGATGAAGATGAAAGGCAACCAGGAACTTTCCAGGTATGTACACATTTTCTTTATCAAGATCGTCCAATTTTGGTTATAAAGTGCGCCAGCCACCAGGAATGCAGAAGAAATAAATAAGATTAAATATAATTGTACAGTATGTGTATTGTAAATTAAATCTAACAATAATTAATATACGTTATCTCTCTAAAACCTTCCAAGGTGTACCACTTCTGTATGGCTGGTTAAGCCAGGCGCACACACTGCGATTTTAGTCGGCCGATTTAAGGTTTAGGTGTATGATATTGGCAAATCTAGCGATGTAGATGAGCCCACAGATCCTATCACTGATTGTTTTTGCTGAAAACATCTATCTAAACCTGAATCGGCCGACTAAAATCGCAGTGTGTGCGCCTGGCTTTAGTAGTAGGCCAGACTACTGAAATCAATAACGGCAAGAAGAAAACCACTTACGACTGATATGCACGAAGTCCGAAAGACTGTATTCCTGATCTTATTGCTTTCGCTCAAAATCTTCATATTGCGCTAGATGCTCGATTCAACCTCGCTGTCCCTGACAAACTGAAGTTGGCCAGGGTAGTTCCTATATATAAAAATGGACCAACATTCCATGTATCAAATTATTGCCCCATATCTTTATTGTCAAAATTTAATAAAATTTTAGAAAAATTAATGAATAAGAGACTAACAGATTTTCTTGAGAAAAATAATTTGTTATTTCATGGGCAATTTGAATTTTGGTCAAATCATTCTACTAATCATGCACTATTGCTAAATACTGATAAAATCCAAAGGGCTATTGAAAACAAAGAATATACTTGTGGTATTTTTCTCGACTTGAAGAAGCTTTTGATACTGTAGACCACAAACTTTTGCAAAAAAATGGAATATTATGGAGTCAGAGGGCTAACAAATCAATTGTTTTCTTCAAATCTAATAAATAGGAAACAGTCTGTCTCAGTTGGCATTGCTATATCTGAACAAAAACCTATTACATGTGGGGTTCCACAAGGGTCGGTTTTAGGGCCACTTTTATTCTTGTTATACATAAATTATTTTAGTTTTTCAGCTACTAATTTAGATTTCCATTTGTTTGCTGACAACTCTATTTTATTTTCATAAAAATCTTAAAGTCTAGAACAAAATCTCAATGAACAGTTGTCCAAGGTTGATAAATGGTTGTGTGCAAATAAATTATCTTTAAGTATAGGTAATAGCATGGTTTCGAGTGCAATTTGGATATAACATGCACAAGTGAGTTTTTCAAATACCTCATCTGACTAGATTAGCCCTAAATGGTTATTTCAGATAGCTAAGCTCGTATATTGTTTATATAAATATTTATTGTAGTGTTATATATTTGTGAAATTTTCGAGTGAATAAAATCATGTATCTAAAGGGTGGTTAGTTACACTAAATGCAATTCTTTTAATTTGGGCACACCTCGAAACAACACATGAGTTCAAGTTTCTTCTAACAAGAAGGTTAAACACCGACCCCTTGGAGAACTTCTTTGGTACCATACGGTAGCAAGGAGGAAACCGTGACAATCCAAACCCCAGCACAGTTTTCTATTGCTTTTAGGAAATTATTTTTAGTTCCTTCCTTACCTCTTCAGCAGGAAATTGTACTGCAGATGTTGATGAACTCCTTGGTAACTTCAAAAAGACAACTAAAGCAAAGCCAGTCATCATGAACCACAGCTACCAAGCCTCATACCTTGAACATTGGACGAACTGATTACATTTGACAAGAACCTTGTCAAGGACATTGCAATTGCATATGTTGCTGGTTAACCTGGTCCATAAATGTATGAAAATCCATACTTGTCCCACATGTGCATAAATCTGGATGACAACAGGAAGTTGTTCTGTTTCTTCAAGGCATATGATGAAGCAGCAGACACCTTTGGAGGCTTGCATGCACCAACAAATTGCTTTCTTGAATACATTATTCAACAGGAGGATACCTTTTTCCAAAACGTTTCAGTTTATACCAAACGTTTGTCTGTTGGAGATGATATTCTCAAATTGCTTAAGAAAATACAAGTTCCATTCCAATGCTGTGATAACTTTCCACTAGATTTCTTGCAAAAGTTATTTCTGAGGTTGCAAATTTATTACAGTTTAAACTTTAAAATTTGCCAATCGTGATCATTCCAGCACTAAAAAGGACAGGAAATATTTGAAACTAACACACTTTAACCATGTCGTTACACTATGTGTCACAACCCTATCATGCTGGAATATACAAACATGGGCAACATCCTTGGTTTGAATGATTGAACTGTCAACCACTCAAATATAAATAAATGTTTTTCATTCATACTGAAAACATCAAATCCTGTTGGAACTATAAATATAAAGTGAATTCATAACAGAGAAAGACATGCAACATGCTGCCTGGGGTTATCTGGAAGAATTTATGTGGCAAAAAAGATGGTGTAAAATCCAAGATAAAAACCGGTTCATCCCTTTAGAACCACCAAATACAAAGAAGAATATAATCAAAATTCTCAATATACCATGGCTTGTCGTTTCTTTACATTTTGTTATATGAACTTGTGATTGAGAATTTTCTCAAGTTAACTGTTTAAGCCGCTTGTGTAAACTGTTGTTGTCCATATTTTATACATGTAATGAATCCTCCAGGCAGTGTGCGCAATACGACCGCAAAGCATGATGGCATTTTCGCACCTGAATTGCAATTGCGCCTCATTTGCATTTTGCTTTGACCGAGTGAACATCAGAGACAATCGCTGTCAGCGAAAATAAATACTCTAATTTAATATTCTTCGATGGGAACAATTGCCTTTATTCCCACACATAAAGAAATATGGTAATAAGGTGCATATCAGCTAATTTTATGGACAAATTGTGGCAGTCGACGCTTCATGTTGGATCCATAAAGCATTAGCAATTTTATCACAACATGGCAATCTCGAAAGGTGAGTTATAGGTACTATATTGGACTATTTTATAGGTAATTACTACATATTTTCACTAAATACTTATCTTCAATACAAAAAACTGGAGTGATTCCTTTTGTAGTGTTTACTTAAAGCATATACAACAATATATATGCTCTCAATATATATATCTCAGAAATGTTATCTTCGGTCCGGTGTCCCACAAGGGTCAATACTAGGCCCTTTACTGTTTTTGATATCATTTAATGACATTGTCGATGTAATTGAACAATCCAGAATAGTGAAATATGCCGACGATGTTGTTTTGTATGTAGAGGATAAGAATATGGAGTCAATCAAATCAAAACTGACAAACGATTTGGCCAATGTTGTGGTCTGGTTGGATGAAAATGATCTAATTATCAACTTAAATGAAGGGAAAACCGAAGCATTACTATTTGGAACAGCTAAGCGTATATGCAAATCAAACGAGTCTTTGTCTATACCGTATGGAAATACAGTTATTAATCTCACAAAGAAATACAAGTATCTTGGTGTTGAAGTTGACTCCACATTAAATCTTAACACTCATTTTGATGCTTGTTTTAAACATGCATCAACAAGGTTACGTCTACTGTCAAAATTAGAGATAATTTAAATGTGGACTCGGCGAGAACGATTTATCTGTCAATGATCACACCGCTTTTGACATACTGTGGAATTTTGAATCTTAAATTAACGTCAACACAACTGCATAAGTTAGCTTCTTTTCGGGAACGAGCCACTAAAGTTATTTTTAAGGATTTTCGACCTGATACAGAGCTCCCATCAATTATGGATTTAAGGAAGAAGCATGCCTGTGAAATAGTTAGGACTTTAGATGGCAATATCCCGGAGGCCTCATTTTGTAATTAAAGATCATGGACGTGAAACACGAAACTGAGGTTGTTTGATAAACTTACCAACTATAAAACTTGAATATGCACGAAGAGGATTCTATTTCATGGCAGCTAAATTATATGATGAGCTGCCATTGAATATTGGATCTGCAACAAGTTCTGAAGATTTTTATAAACTATTAAAACTTCATTTCAGCTAATATATATTATATATATATACATTATAATAGATACCTCTTAATGAACTGCTTAGAACATCTTGAACTTTCAATTTTTAACCTATTATAGATTTTTACTAAAGTAGTTTTTGGACACAGGACACACGTTGATAACAGCAATATTCTTGCTGAAGTGTTTTTATCCTGTTAAAATATTCGTATTATTATTATATAATAATTAAATGCTTTTGATAGCTTTTATTTTATGTACTGCGAGCACTCAACTTGGTTCACTTTCAGTAAATGTTCAAATAGTATCGATACTATTAGCTAAAAACAAAAATGATACAAAAAATATTCAGCCTTTGTGTTTGTGAACTTGACTTATCTGCAGAAGGTAAGGATGGGAATTTCATTAGTTACCATTTACTGTTGTTAACACAGAGGAGGGGCTGGTTGATGAACATTTTGATGAACAATTTCCATTTTACCAGAGAAGCTAGCTGCTACCTCCTAGTAAACTGCCATTGTAGTTTGCCACTTCCTAGCCTACCAAAATCTTTGCAGTCCTGGGTTATTAGCACTTGTTGTGATGGTCAGAATAAATTTCTTAACACAATAATCAGCATCCTGGACAAGCATTTTTCCAATGAGCTTGCTGCAGGAAACAGGAACCCAACAAGTGGAATAAACCAAAATAACTTTTCTCACCTCCAGGTAGTAATTGGTTGCATTTTGATTAATGCATACCAAAGTAAAATAATCTAGTTGCATTACAGCTTGTACATTGTCCTTGTACAATGAAGTGACACAAAAATAACTTCATTTTAGGTTCCTCTTCCTACGGTGGCCCAGAAGGGACAACACCATTCATAAATTGAAATGTGACAATCAAAGCAAATTCACAACAAACTAAGCATAATCATTGCAAACACAAAGGTAAAGACTACCTTAAATACTAGCGCAAACAAAATATTCACTGCAAACAAAATATAAACGGCATGAATGAAAGAACCTTGAAGCGTAGACTCAAGGATTATGGTTGCTCAAGACGTCATGAAGTGGACGACCAACTGAGAAGACTGGTTAGAGATATAATTTTGCTCGAAATCAGAAATGGTCCTGATAGTTTAAACAGCTACAGGACAATGTGGCACATTCTAAGAATTAGGCACCATATTAATGTTCCAAGACATGTAGTGCAGACAATTTTAAAGGAAGTTGATCCCCAAGGGACAGAGAATAGAAAGCGAAGATGTCTCAAGCGTAGAACATATGTTTTGCCAGGGCCCAACTTCTGCTGGCACATAGATGGCTATGACAAACTGAAGCCATTTGGTTTTTCAATACATGGATGTGTTGATGGATTCAGCAGAAGGATTATCTGGTTGGAACTTATGAGATCCAATAAAAATTCACGTTTCATTGCAAAGCATTTTTTAAAGCATGTGAAAGCTGCACGGGGTTGCCCAACACGTGTGTACACTGATCCTGGGACTGAAAATGGGATAATTGCAGGAATGCAATCCTATTTTCGTGCTGAAGGATCAGATGAATATGCAGGGTCAAATGCCCATAAGTATGTAACGAGCACACGTAATCAAAGAATTGAATGTCAGTGGTCACACTTCAGGAAACAGCGTTCAAGTTGGTGGATTGATTTCTTTCATGATCTCAACGAGTCTGACCTTCTTGATCTCACAAACGAAATACATAGAGAAGCATTGTTGGTTTTGTTTTGCAGATTTATTACAAGCTGATCTCGATAAAGTCAAAGATTATTGAACTCCTACCGCATCAGAAGTCAAAACACACAATAATTTCCGGTGTTCCTGACATGATGTATTTCCTGCCAGTGATTGTTTGCACCCAGTTTTGTCAGAAAAAGTAACAGAGATTGAAAACAGATTGGAGAATAATGAGGATGAGACAGACCCAATTTTCGAAGAATATTTTCACTATGTTATGGAGAACAATAACCTATAGGATCCATCATCCATCCAAGAAGCTGGTGTCCTATTTGAGCAGCTAACACAGTTTTCCTGTCCTAGTTAGGACAGTATATTAGTAATGTAGCTGAGAAGAGTAGGTAGTAGGTTATCCAAATTCCTGAAAAGTAAGACAATACTTTTCAAGCAAAGGAAGAGCTTGATTTCAAGTGAATGCCCTTTGTCTAGAAGTTAGACAAACTAATTTCTTGCCAAAGAATCTTCGCTTAAGAAACTATTTTCTTAATTTTCAGATAGTTGGATAACCTACTCTTATCTATTTACCTTGCTATACCCACCCTGGCACCCACCTCACAAAATATATTGGACAAATTGCCTACTAATGGTTTAACTCATTAACTGGCAATGTGCTCTAATTTAAAATTAACTCGGTCTAATGCCAGATGTATTTACCTGTCAAAGGCCAGACGATTTTACTTGTCAGTCGTAGAGTACTGCCACTCAATGACTGTAATCTCTGTTTAAAGTGCCATGGAGGGCTTACTAGAGAGAGAGACAGAATAAGGGGGGGGGGGCAGTAGCATAGCCATGCCCGGGGCCAGAGGGCCCCGTCCCCTGAGAAAATGTTGGCCCCCTGGTACATCTAACTTTTGTATACTTTTGTTAAGCTCCCCCCTGCTTCGTTTTTGCCCCCCCCCCTTGACAGAAAATCCTGGCTACGCCTCTGGGGGGGGGGATAAATAGAGATATTACAGTAAGTATGTTATGCAAAAAATATTTCAAAAATCCCTTATTGTACAATAGTCCTTTCTTATAATGTCAAACATGAAAAAATAATTTTTGCAAGAGTCGATCAAAATTTCATGTAGCACCTTTCATAAACATTTTTCCTGTGTTTGATGTCATTATAATAAAGGTTATTGAAATGACATCGCTTTAATAATGTATGTTGGGAAATCTCTAAATTTTACCATACGCCCTCCCTATCGACTGTGTACAAAAAGGAAGGTTGCTAAAACTAAAATATTTTTAATTAATTAGAATATCCAAAAGAGATATGGGAGTCAGATGTTTTCTGTAATGACTCATTGCAAGGAAACATAGAATGCAATGTGAACAGGATGTCCGGATTTTTATAACTCCTGTTCAGGAGGGGGTACAAAATATTCACTATGAAGACTGTTATTGTTTAAAATGGTAAATGTTTTATCATTTGAACACAAATACTTGACATAAGATGTCTACTATCATAGAACATGTTAGATCTACAGTGTGTATCTAAATAAATGAAACCCACTCACAATCACATATTCTTTTTGATAAATGCAAATGTTTAATTTTTTTATGCACACTGTTTATAGATCGTAGCTATTTTTTGGTCTAGTTATATTCGTATCATATGTAGAATTGCTGTATAGACTCGCAAGTGATTTGGCACTCAAAATGAAGTATTATTCAACTCTTTTTTCCATTAGAAACCTTTCAGAAATAGCTTTATTTTTAAAAAAAGCATGGTCAATTTTTGTTTTGTTTTGATCATGCAGTTGTGTGGATAGTTCACATACTTGTCCCGCGAACATCCCGCACGGAACTGTAGGGAGCCTCTTTAACACTGAACTAAATATGATGCTTTTGTTGAAAAGTGTTGCCATAGGCACAAATCAATACCAAGCAAAGTTCGAGCAACAAAACCAATAGTTAAAAAGTATGTTCTCATTGAAATCTCTTGCAGCAGAGTTCAATATTGATTAAATGTTTCCAAAGCCAGCACAAATCTTTGATTGCTGATATGAATATTTCACACATGTATTCTGTTGTCAGGTGAACTGGTATTTTTAAGGTTATATCTCATGTTGAAACAGTGGGTCGACAGCGGCATGCTTCAGTACAACCATGGACAAATTGCACTGAAAACTTTTTGGGAAATCCAAGAGGAGGTATAGTTTTAGATCCTGTCATCCATTTGATGAAATCTCTCAAATAAATACCATCAATTCCTTGAAAAATGAAATCAAAGTTTAATCAGCGCTAATCAGATTGAGAGATGGTATCATGGTGGCATCGAGCCAACAATGTTCAATGACGTCAGTGCCTAATTAAATCAACTTGTTTAGAACCACTCTTTAAAAGTGTATTTACTCTATTCAGCTTTTTCTCAAGTTCATCAAAACGTTTTTCTATTACATTAATACATTTGTTGTTTGTAATTTGGTAGTAATTGGACCGAAAAAGTGGGTGCGGTATTTGGATCCTGATACGCTGTGGGTGCTCACTGCCCATTTTGGAGCCATTGTGTGACATGTTTGAATTGTTTTAATACTCAGGGGAGTGTTGTGTGCGTGTATGATTTGCCAAACTGATACAAAGCCGAAATCAAGATCGTGCTGCAAACCGACCAAACACAATAAAACATATTGAATACAATAAAAATATATATTGAATACAGTAAACCACTAGATACCCTGAAAAATCTTGAAAATATGGTAAGATGTTGGTTGGGTAGAGTGGGGTGAAGTAGGGTAAGGTAGGGTAGGGTAAGGGTAAGGTAGGGGTATAATTTTATCGCAATGATTTTATGAGAACATATCCGGAATGAATCATGAGTGTGATGAGGCCAATTTCAAATGAAATCAAATTCAAGAATAATTCAGTCAATGTTTATCCACCACAACTTCGCTTTGGCAAATAAACTTCACCTTAATCTGAATAATAAAAAATTATTAGATGAGAATGTAGATCTATGATTTGATTTATGATATTTATGATTTGATTATGATATGAGACTTTATGATTACATTGTGAAGAGGTAAAATAGAATTATACTGAGACAATTGCAGTCAAGCAATGCAGCAAGAAAAAAACAACACGAAACCCGTAACACTCACCATCATCTAAAAGTAGTACCATATCGGAAAAGAACTTGTACGTTGTAATCTCTTTCTCCTGTAGCACCTGTGAAGTGATGTATTCCACAGCAGCTTCATCTAGGAACTTCTCACTATTCATCTGAAATTCCTGGCTTGGTTGGAATAACACTTTCCAAACACTTGGGAATTTCTGGATTGACTGCAACACATTACAAACAGACAACCCTTCTTCCAGTTGCATCAACTGCGGCAAAAATGCTGAAAACTGATCTTGTATGCATATTGATCTACAATTTAAATGCAGAAAATAAAATTGTTACATACCGGTAGTGCTAATGATTGGCTGCTCAAGGAGGATATTCAGAATTATGCCACAAAAATTGCATAAAATCCATGTCAGTTTGAACTTCCGCAATATGACTGAATAGTGAATTATAATAAAACAAATATTATTAGTAAACATGGTTATCCCAAAATATTACAATTTGTCTTTAACAACGTCATATGTAAATAATTGGTCTGACAAATCCTGGTCTACTTTTAATTGGCCAATCTTGTCCAATAATTGTATCTTAATTATTATTAACACAAAACATCGGCTTGATAATTAGCATTTTCCCAATAGAGCAGAGTACTGGGTCTAGTTGTGAACCGCAAAGCACCTATGGATTATTTGGGTATCACCTATGGATTATTTTGTGATTATGGAGTACAAGTCTGGTCGTTTGTCCCTCCAAACAATCCCTCAGAGATGCTTTGCGGTGTACAACTAGACCCAGTACTCTGCTCTATTGGGAAAAGGCGAATTCTTCATATCATGTTCAACCACATTCAATAATTGTTTATTGTCATGGGCGGATTTTCTGGGGTGTGTGTGTGTGGGTGTGTGGGGTGGGGGGGGGTGCAAAATCGACCTACTGTATGTTTATTATTACACATTACATAATATACAATATTGCTTTTGATTGGCCTACAGATCATTCTCAATATTGTGTAATGACGTCACACCCTGCAGATGTAGTTTTCTGCATGTAACAGTATTTGGTAGTTTTACTGAAAATATTTGCCACACAGGCAAGTATTGACATTGATTTTATATAGAATACATACAATGAAAAAGAAGAGCAGAATAGAAAAAATAATAATCAAGAATAACCTGATAACATTAATCACCGATGTTGTCGTCTCTCTCTGCGGAATTCTTCTGTAGCCTATGCTGTCGAGCACATCAAGAGTATCATCTTGTGTTAAAATAGACTGGACCTCTTCATCAGTTTTGGCATTTGCAAGCTTAATAACAATAAAAATACTTTTTTTAAAAAAGAAATATAAGTCTCCAGTAATGATAGTATTACTTAAAAATACAAACATTAACTTGTACAATTTGCACAAATTACTAGTGACCCACTGACCCTGGAGCAAACCGGAACAGAATGTTTTGAGTATATTACCGGCAGCAGTATCTTATATATACTTACAGTATATGTTTACTGGCAGTACTCTACCACTGATTTCGAACTTGTAGACCATAAAGTGGGGCACATTGGGTGTATTGCCAGCTAATGGGTTAATTATGTCAATAGTTTAAGTACTAGAGAAGATTACTGTACACTGTACATCTTTATCAGCTGACATATCATCATTTTGATAAAAGATAAAACAGATCCCTACATTTTTATGGACAATAATACATGCTTTAGTTTGCTTTCTATTTCTGTAATTCCTAACTGTACAGTAATCAACAAATGAAAAACTTACATTTTTTGCAATATTCTTGCTCACGATGTTAGTATTTTTATCTGGGTCCAAAGTTGTTCTACTGATATATGCATACACTTCTGAATCTAAGAAGTTTGGTGCAGGGCCTCCTTGTAGAATTGAAATTACCATTAATTTACCAGCAATTCGGAATTGCAGGGAAGAAAGAGCAATCACGGACTTCACTGGCCATCCATTCAAAAATAACATCCGCTCTGCAAGTTCCAACATATCTAAACAACAAACAAAAATAAACATGTCCTTTAACGAAAACAGAAGTGGATCAAAAACCTGAACACACATTACAGTAATTAACAATAGATACCATATTGCAAATGTAATGAGTTGAAATGTAACAAATTATCTTTTATTGGCTGAGGAATGAAATAGGTGGGAAATGTTTATATACTGTGGGTGGAAAATAATGGGAGAAGTTACTAAGTTAGTTTCCATCAATGGACAGTTTAGGTATGTGATGCATTAGACAGATTCACTGGGGGATGCACAAGTCCAGGGGCGCACATTCGAAAAAAATTTGGGGGGTGTCCTATGTTCTTGGACCGACTTTTGTAGTATTTATGTTTGGTTAGAAAAGCTAACTATTTAAAGCGCATAGACGGTAAGATGGGGATAGCATTCCAGGAGTTTAAATAAACGTTCAGTTTTTCAGAACTTTTGCAGTGGTCTTAAACCTTTGGAGTTTGGAGGGGAGGAGGGGTCAAAATTTTTATGGATTTCGAGGAAAATTTTGAATTTCTAGACTCATTAAAACGCTATTTCACATATTTTAGGACGAGGTTTGAAGAAAAGTTACAATCACAAAAATGCATTTTTAAGTCGCCTAATGTTGTTAGATCGAAAAAATATTTATGTAAAATATAGTATTTTACACGCAAATACTCAACAGCAAAATAGCATCATGTCTTCGTTTTTGTAGAAGTCGGTCATGAGCGTTGCTTCGCAAATTCAAGTTCAAATGTGCTTTAAAATAACCATGCATAGGCATTTTTACTGGAGTTAGAATTCTAGGTAGGGAAGACTTCAACTTTTATTGGCAAGCAGAAGAGATGGGTATCATTATTCACACATCGTACCCCCACCCCAATTTCTGCCCGGATTTCAGCTTTCCACAAGGGCTGTCCTTATGCCCATTGCAGAACCCCCCGAGCCCCCATCTTGGCTACGCCGCTGATTTAATTCTGCCTTCCAAAGTTTCAGCTTTTACGACAAGGCTAACAACGAACAATTTTAACTGCACCGCGGCGGCTTGAGGTAATCGGATCGCATTACGTTGGCTGAACTGTTGCAACACGGAAGTTGATTATTTGCTCTCTTGGTTTGTGTCAGTGAACTCTAATTTGTGTATGTCTAATTCGTTTTTCTTATGTTTATGCAACTTCCATTTCCAGAATGTCCACCTATTACTTTTTTCGACACAAAATGATAATATCTTTCAGCTTTTAGCCGGACCGACTTTTTCGTCCCATTCAGGTTTTGGGACCGACTTTTTAGATATATTTCACAAAACATGGGGGTGTCACACCCCCCCCCCCACACCTCCCCTAATGTGCGCCCCTATGCACAACACCTACTTTTTTCACCCCCGAAAATTCTCCTACCCCCTCTGTAACTCCCCGAAACTTAAATACATCGGATTAAATTTTATTTTAAAAAAAGCGCCACACAAGACAAGAATAAAGTTTAGGACACAGGGTTAATATACAGCTAATTCAAAAAAGGTTGTCTGTTCATGTCAAGCTTGGGTCTGATATGCTACAGCAGCTCCCAGTGTTTTGTGAGAGTTGGATGTTTTCTTATAAATAAATTATTAATTCTCTTGCCATAGGAACCGACAACCTGGAGAAAATGGGGCACATGTGGGTGGTGGTTGTGGATTCACAGATCAAAATTACACTACATAATATTATGTGGCAGTCTGTGTGTGCTGTGTGCCTTAGAGCACTCTGAGAGATCACATGCTGCAAAAACACAGATTCCAATTTTATTTTTTTTGAAAACTCAGATATTGAAATACCTGATAAAAACTCTCTACGGGGGCCACCGTCATCAATTGCTGGTTCTCCAACAAACACAACTTTCAGCATTTGTTCGGGCTTAAACCGTCTTGCTCTTTCTTTAGTAAAGTCGTCCCACATCGTTTTCCTTCTAACATTTATTCTTATTGGTTGGTCTGTTTCCATATTTTCTTTGGCCTTGTAAATTAAAGACTGAAAGGTGGGCTGGTCAATGTCATCGTCATTCCAACAATCGGTTGCAATTTGTTCCAATTGCGAATCGTCTTGTCCGCTAATATTTGAACTTCCAAAATCGAAAATATGAGAGGCGCAGATATCAGCATGCTCCAAAATTTCATCAACAGGATACTTGATGAAACATGTTGGGCACTCAACACCACGCACTGAATCAGAAAAGAAGATATACTGTATATTAATATACAGTACATGCAAGTGGTTTACTGCGGATTCAGGTTGAGTGTTTAATGTGAATATTTATGGAGTTCATTTCAACAGTTGC